ACTTAGTGAGACCCTGTCTCAAAATAAAAATAATAAAAGGTTGGGGGATGTAGTTCAATGGTTAAGTGCCACTGATACTGGGTTCAAACCCCAGTATAAAATGAATGAATGAATGAATGAATGAATGAATAAATAAATAAATAAATAAATAAATAAAACAAATAAAAATCTCCATTTTAGTGTGTCATTTGGTGGTTAAAAGTTGCTATATTTTTTTTCTTTTTTGAAGAAATGTACAATGACTACTGTGTTTCAACAAATCTGACAGACACTACCTGGCTGTGCTGTTATTCAATTCTGACATTTATCTGGCATTAGCGCAGACCCCTTGGGTTAAGGATATGACCCTCCACACAACTGCCTTCACTGCAAGTGAGAAGTCTCAGGAGGTCCCCAGGCTGCCCCTACTTCTTATCAGCTACAAATACAGTGTTTTGCATGACCTCCTCAGGTTCAGTAATTCTGGTAGTTTGCTATAATGACTCATAGCACTCAGGCATTGTAGTTGTTATTATATGCTAAGCTTCAGTGTCCAGGGTTTTTATTGGGGTTTCATTACACAGGTAGTCAGATGGGTTGCATTGTTGGTCAGTGATTTAACCCAAATTCTAGACCCTCTTCTGGCCCCTTCCCAGAGGCCAGGCAGCTAAAAGTTTTTACCCTCTGATCTTGTGGTTGGATTTTCTGGTGACCAGCCCTCATCCTGAAGCTACCTCATTTCCCATAAGTCACTTCATTAGCATTAGAAAGATACTCCTATCACAAGGCATTTTCAAGAGTTTTAGAAGCCCCTTATCAGGAATTTAGGATGAAGATCAGATAAATTCTTCCTTATATCACAAGGAATAATGTTCAATTCTATCACAGAGAAGGCATATAATAGGTATAAAATGTAAAAGAAGCCACTAAAATGTTAGAATTATAATATAGAACTATGTCCAAGAAATTGTGCAAAACAGAACATGGGAGACATTTTTCATCCCAAAGGCATAAAAGAGAGGGAAAGAGTTAATGCACACTGCTGGTAAACAGGAGCCATGGAGGGAGATGACACTAGTCCATTTACACTTGTAATGAAAATGTGTGTAACTATATTTACTTTACCTATTAAAAGACAGAAATTAACAAATTAAAAATTTAAATGTAGTTATAAACTGATAAAATAATGTATGCAATACTTAAAGTAACAGAGCTAGATATAACTAAGAAAATGTTAATCAAATGAAAGCCAGAATAAAAATGTTAACATCAGACAGACAGATTTAAGATAAATCAAAGCAATGCAAAACATGTCATCATGAGTTAGGAGAAACACTGTGTAATGAAAGGAACCATTTACTAAGTATATCCAATAATCATGACCTTGTTTATCTTCAACAAAATAGCCTAGAATATGTAGAGAACGATCAAAATCACATGTAGTACCCAAAATAACTCATGGGGAATCTCAATAAACATCCAAAACAAAGCAGAGGAAAGCATTTATTAAGTGTGAGAGACTCATCAAGAAAACCATACCAGCTTGAATGTAGGGGTCTGTGTTTGTGGGTGGGGGGTTACAAACATATATGTTCATGTTTCTGTTACCAAAGAATGCATAGTGTTAAGTACACATGTATGCATAACATTTAAATACATTTAAACAGAAAAGGACTTGATTGTTTCAAAGTACTAATTGATGGTAGATATTTTTATACTTATAGATTTTGAAGAATTAATACCATACATAACAGTCTTTGACAGTCATGTATAATAATTTAATTTAATACTCAGTTTTTCTATGTGTTGGAGGAAGGAAAAACCATTCTGCTATAGATACCAAGATCTGAGTGGTGTGTGAATTAATTGATACAAATTAATAGGAGAAAAGTTTGTTTCACACACATGTGTAAGTATTCTATAGGGAACAGGTCACAGAACAGCTAGAGGTAAGAATTTATGTACCCCTTTTTTTTTATATTTTTTTATTGGTTGTTCAAAACATTACAAAGCTCATGATATATCATCTTTCATACATTTGACTCAATTAGGTTATGAACTCCCATTTTTACCCCAAATACAAATTGCAGAATCACATCGGTTACACACTCACATTTTTACATAATGGCATATTAGTGACTGTTGTATTCTGCTACCTTTCCTATCCCCTACTATCTCTCTCCCCTCCCCACCCATCATCCCTCTCTACCTCATCTGCTGTTGTTCAATTCTCTCCCTTGTTCCCCCCCCTTTCCCCTCACATCCTCTTCTATGTAATTTTGTGTAACATTGAGGGTCTCCTACCATTTCCATATGCTTTCCCTTCTCTCTCCCTTTCTCTCCCCCCCACTCGTCTTTGTTTAATGTTAATCTTTTCCTCATGCTCTTCCTCCCTGCTCTGTTCTTAGTTGCTCTCTTTATATCAAAGAAGACAAGGGTCTATTTAATGGGGCTCATTTAGACAGATTTTTTTTTGGAATGTCCAGGTACCTAAGGTGAGTAGCCTCCCTGGCTGGAGATCTTCCTGGAGTTGGGAAGGACAGAGGCTAACTAAGTCTTGGAAAGCTTTGCTATAGAAAAGCTGTAGCCAATGCCTGACAGAGTATCACAAGCCCAGCTCCACATCCCAGCTATAGAAATGTATACAAAAATCGGAGCTCTGGAAGTCTGTGTGCATTCCTGTGTGCTGAGAATAAAATCCAAAGTCTTTGGCCTGGAAGGTCTGCCCAGTTCACCAAGCACCCCATCATTTGAGCCATTTTGGTCTTTCAGAGTCTTAGGAAGACAAGCATTTTTTCTTACAGCACCCCTGCTCACTCTCCTCCTTCTGCCTGAATGGCATTCTCTGGCTTTTTTCCCTGGCTGTCTGCTCTTCATTGTTCACCTCTTCAGCACAGCCTCTCCTCATTAATGAGCTCTAATATGCTTCCCTCAATTCCAGCTCAGCTCCCAGATATTTTTACCCTAATGTGTCACATTTTTGTATCCATTTGGGTGCCTTTTACTTTCTTTTCTGATTATTGATAAATAGGCAGAGAATGTGGATTTTGTTTTGTTTGTAATATTTACAGCTAAAATGCAGTGCCACACCCAGATACCTTCTCCTTCACCCCTGTGCACTTCCCAGGCTCTCAACTGCCAGCATACATTTCTTGGCTTGAGGATTCACTTTGGTTTCTAGATGCTAACTAGAAACCACTTGTACCACTTTGGGCCTGAAATTCCATGGAGGAAGTAGCCCTGGACCAAACACCAATAGGAATTAGTGTATAAATGCTCAGGGTCCCTCACCCTGTTGGAGAGATATGGTCCACAATGTTTGGCTCCATGATGCATCTTTTATTGGCTGGCTGTTCTTCTGTGTCTCATTTTATCACTTGCTGATCAGTGTTTTATGTATCTCCTAAGAAAACTACTTATATCCAAGTCCTTATTTGGGGCAATGCTTTTGAAACATATAGTTACACAATAAGTATTTTTTTGAATGCATGGATGGATGAGTGAGTGGATAGATAAAAAAGAGATTCAAAGGGGAGTTCAAGGTGGGATGATGTGTAAGGTTTCAAACTGTTGAAAAAAATACAGGTGCTGTGAGCACATTCTAATTAGGGATAGTTGGGTCACAAAAAGCATGTAAGGCCACATAAAGGTGTATGTATGGCAGTTTACAAAAAAGTCTAATATGGAATTTTTAAAAGCTAAGATTTTCTTTAGGCTTGCTGCCCAATTCTTGAAGATTTTATGGATGCCTGGTTTATGTGCAGTTTTTACACTTCCTGGTTTTATTACAATATTTACCTAAAATATTAAAGTGTGCTATGCAAACTCATAAATAAAGTTCATCATGAAATTTATTCAATTTAAGTGTGTTTAACAGTCCAAACAATCGCCTTTTAGAAATACATCTGGAAGTGAGAATTGGGCTGTAAGTGAAATCAGATGGTGAGATTTAGAGCCACAGGAAAAAAGTGATAACCAAAAGAAGCTGTAATCACACTTGATGATGTAACTGATAAGTGGTTTGGGAGGCACCATTGGACATTCAACAGCATTATTATTGTGTCACTGGACAAGTTCACAGTTTTGTATTTTGGGGGGGTGCTGACTAGAGCTCCTGACCCAGAGCTCATTGGTCTTCAGCAAATTATAGGTGTGGGAGATTCAGTCAGACTGTGACCTTCCTGAAGGCAGGAAGGTTAAAGTCTAAATCATCTTTCACATTCTCAGTGGCATCAATGCTTGGCTTGTAAATGACTGGAATGCATAAGAAGCAGGAGTGGTTGGACCACCTTGCTGTTATAATGAGCAGTATTCTCCAATGCAAAATGATGTGAACTAGCAAATCATTCATCATTAAGAAAAGCATTCCTCAAACTACAAAAGGAGATTATTTTAAAATAATAATTCTGATACTCCAGGCTTTCAGTATAATCTAGCCCTACTCATTTAAAAATTAAAGATGGCTGGTCTAAAATCCTGTAAGATGGTATTAACTTTTTATAAGGGGATATTACTATGATGCTGGTTGAAAAATATTTGTGTTTAAACAAGCATTATATGTGAAATCCAATTAAATGTGCAGATGGAAAATATTGTTCAGAAATAATTTCCAGGAAAAAAATTTAACTTCTTTTAATGAATTGGCTTGCTTTTTCTTTATGGGTATTGAAATTTCTAACATACTGTTCTTTTTCAAAATTTTGGCTACTAAAGAACTCAGAACTTAATTGGCGGCTCAATTTTTTTCTACCCATGTGGGAAGTTATGACTTGTATATTTGCCTTTTAAATTTTTCCTGGTCTTTAAAATCTAGTCTGATTTTTTTTTTCTTTTCCCTGGTACTGGATTTTTTAATTTTACATTTAATTGACCTGCTTAAACTTTTTTAGATTGCCTGTATTTGTCTCTTAATATATTTTTTAAGCCATGAACTTTTTGTGTTAAATAGAAAAATAAATGATTCATGCTTCATATATAAAACATATATATTTCTGACACAGTACTGCTGTTCTTTCTTCAAGGCCCAATGTTTGTGAAGAACAGCTGGTGACTGTGGTGGGACTGGCGCACCCCTGTGTTCGGGCCTTCACACACACCGCCAGGCTCTGGAAACAAGGCTGTACCGGCCCACCCTGGTGCATGGGTTATGAAAGAAGGTGAGGGTGCTTTCTCCTCTTTTCGTGTGATTATGACTAATGAAAGCCAGAAGCCTCATCTGCTTCTAAATATTTCATCCAGTAAATTTGGGGAAATAATTGCATGCTTAAGTAAATGAGCATAAGGTACACTCACCAAGAACTTTCAGAATAATGTATTTTCTTCGGAGACAGAATGTACGATCACTTCACTTGGGCTTCATTTATGTGTGAAGTATTTTAGGCTAGATGCCACTAATTTTACCTCATGACATGATACACCATTGAAAGCCAAAGATCAGAAGCCTGACAGAAACAAGGAATATTGTGTCGGTGTGCTAAATTTAGCACGACTTGGATCCAGGGGATCTACAGTTGTGAACCATCCTCTGACCTGCCCTTGTACTCTTGTAGCACTTTGAAACCTAGAGCTTCTTTAACTTTATTATGGCCTTTGAATTAGGATTAACTCGGCAGGCTGGAAGAGGAGAGAAAAGCCAGTGTCCACAATGCTTTCTGGGAGCCAGGGCTTCCTGCAGATATTATTTTTTCTCAAAGTTTTAAAATAGTTTTTAAAAACATCTAAGAACATATTGATACAAACTGTTGCTGAGGGATTGAATTTTATGTAAATCAGTCAACTGAATCGGAACTCAAGATACTTAACCTTTAAAAAAAAATGTAGTTTCAGGTTAATGAAGAATTTAGTATTGATACTATTATTGCCAGTGGAAATTTGGGGACATTTATAAATAGCTGGGTTTGCCATGGTAGAGAAATATCAGAACACTTACAATATAGAACTATGTACAGTATGATAAGACTAAACAGTTTATGGTTGGGGATATTTACATATACTGTGTTGTGCACGTGTGTGTGTGTGTGTGTGTGTGTGTGTGCACATGAGTGTTCAACCTTTAGGTGAATACTCTTATTTTTGGTCCAAACTAAGCATATTTAATTGACATTTAGATCAGAAAAATTTCCCTGACTTCTACTTGCTCTGTGGTCTTACACAAAATTCCTAGATTTTTCTGGCCTTAGTCTATAAAGTTGGAAAAACAATGCCATGCATGGGTATTATGAGAATTAACTGAAAATATATTTAGCACATGTGGCACAATGCTTGGTACATGATAGGGACCCAATATATTTTAGGTAGTATAATGCTGTGGCAGAAAAATTTATTTTAAAATAAATTAGAATGGAAACCATACTTACAGGGCATATGATTTATTCATCAGAGTACTTGTTTTGTAAATGGTTTTTCATTTAGATTTTCTCTACTGCTCACATGAGGTTTAATCATTGTTGGTATTAGTCTGAGCCAAAGAAAGAAATACCTATTCCTTATAGATATGCAGAATTGGGAAAAGGAAATCTAAATAAGTAAAACAGATTTTATATTTTATTCTCAAGAGCTTAGTAGTTTTAGACATTCCGTGTATGACTCTGGGTTCAGAGTGGTGGCAGCATTGAAAGATGCTTGGGGCTTTGTACATTACTATACAACCCTATACTTATATTCTAATCAGAGAGAGACACTCTGAAATATTAGGTTATACTTCCAGGTGGTAAAAAAAAAATGCTATGGTATGGCCAATAAGCCCTATTTTTGAGAGAAGAGAAAGAGCATATTCATTGCCAGGGGAGAAAGAGAAATTGGAAGAAGTAAAATGTAAAATTGACCTTGAACAGTGAGGGGATTTAGGCTGGAATGTGGGGGGAAGGTGTCTGAAGGGGACAGAATATGATAGTGCTTTGGGGAAAAATAATGAATATAACATTGATCTGACAGAAAGGAAATCAGACTGGAGATATTAGTATTATACTCTATTGGTAGGTCAGCACAAATACTTCAGTGTTATTCCTGGTCTCTTCCCTAAGGAGCCTTTTTAAGCTTTTCTTTCCCTCAATTGCCCCCTCCCTGTGAGACTTTAGCATCCCATGTATATTTTATATCTATTTATGTGCTATGCTCCTTTGGGGGCCACACACCATTGAATTAGTTGATCATTTTCATTTCCCCTTGAACTAAAGACTAACTGTCGCCACCCTGCACGTGACAGCACCATGGTTGAGATTGTGTGCTGTAGTGGAACCAATACCCGGAGATCTTCAATGCCACATTGAAAAGCATGTATCCACAATCTTTCAGGGTTTCTTGATTCTCTTTATAATTTTGGGTTTAATTCTCTCTTCTACCCCCCAATTTTTATAGTTGTAGATGGACAGAATGCCTTTATTTTACTTGTTACTTTTTTACTGTGGTGCTGTGGATTGAAACCCTACACATGGTAGGCAAGCACATGTAGCCCCTAAGCTCCAGCTCCAGCCCTGAATTTAATTCTTGATAGCTTGAATGATCCTCAGGGTGTTTTTTTTTACTACCGCACATGGTGTCCTTCTCAATTTTTATTGACCTATACTTACAATTTATTTTGGTTGCCTATGTAAAAAGGTATGTGTGTATAATATATTGAGGTTATATGCACATGTACATATATATATATATATAAACATATATACATATATCTCTGTATCTATCATCTATGTTTCTCTCTTGGTATAGATGATAGGATTTGAATTGGAGAGAGGGATTTTTTGTGTGTGTGTGTGTGTGAAAACTCTGCCTTAAAAGGAAGCATTACATTCCCCTGATCCAGATTCTTGTGTTCCTTAGGACTCGGTACTATACCATCTACAGGCAGGTATACCACAGGGAGTGGCAGACAGTCTATAGGTGCTGCCCTGGTTGGAGCCGATGGGATGATGAACCCGGCTGCCTACACCGTAAGTTATAATTCTTCCTGTCTAGCTCTCTGTCATTAGAAGGAATGGTTTTTCTCTGTGTTTGGCTTCAATCATCTTATGCCTGTCAAGTTTTCGGCATCTTTAGAAGCACCACAGATCACAGCATCTCTTTGGACTGAATATTCACACATGACATGTGCAAAAATGCACAAAAAGCCTTTCTGTTAAGCGTTTCTAATGATAGGTCACGACTCAGGACCTATGGAAGTGCTGCTTTATATTCTGTCTCTTTATTTAAAAGACAGTTGATTTAAAGCCAAACGGGTTCTACCTTGACTTCCATTTCTCTTTTCTGTTTGCCCCTTTCCCATATCATCAAATTTGTAATCCACAGTTGATTCAGAAGTCCAGAGGGAAATCACTGTACTAAATCTAAATGGGATTTCTCCACTTGTGCTTGTCATGATTAATTGCAGAACTCTGGAGGCAGTTTACTTTTTAAGATGAGGTATGCAGTCCTCTTACAAGCCTCTGGTGCGGGTGTTTCAGAATCTTTCAGGTATGTTTGACAGCACTTGGGCAGCAGAACTAGTGGCATTCTGTAGTTCATTCTTGCCAGGAGAAATGGTTCTGTTTAGCGGCTCCTTTACCTACATTATGTGTTTATGGTTATTGCGAAGTCCCTTAAAATGCTTCCGTGTGTTGCAATCAATGCAGTGCCACAGCACAACAATTCATCTCTTCTGCTCTGCTGTACCTGAGGGAGTTTGTTGGCATCCTGCTTCCTTCCCTAGTGTGCTTTCTGCTCTTGAAATGTCTGCGTGAGGTTGCCGCGGGCTTCCCATATTAAGGAGGCTTAGCGTTGAGTGGTGCAGTAAGGGTCACTGTCTATTTACATGAAGCATGAGGCCACTGCAGCTGACTGGTTTAAGATCGGCGAAAAGAGCTGCCCACAATACTATTTCACTATGTTATGAACTTTTGGAAATTAACAACTTTGAGATGAATTCTTTATGTTGGTGGTAAGGTACCTACCACAGTCCTTTGCCTCTGATTAAGAATCAGTAATTCATTTGATTTTTAGATTGTTTTGACCACACAATCATCTTATCCATGCATTTTGACCACACAATGGTCTTATCCATGCAGACTTTTTAGATTAGTGCTTATCAAATTTGAATGTGAATGTGGATCACCTGGTGTCTTGTTGAAATACGAATCTGCTTCAGTGGACCTGGGATGGAGCCTGGAATTCTGCATTTCTACAAGCTTTCAGGTGATGGGAATATTCCTACACAAGGAATTCTTTAAAGCTTTGGACAGTAAGGCCTTAACTTGTAATGAAAACATTCTTTATCCATGCTTTGAAGGGGCTAAGAGAAATGTCTAGAATATGTTATATTAACAATATGGAGCCCATATTCATGATTTTCTTTCTTTCTCTCAACTCCATTCTCCCACCCTCCTTGGTTACCCTCCTTTTAGCTATCTCTGCTATGGGAACTCATTTCAACAGTAGGAAATGCTCAGATGGTGAAGTCCAGAATTGCCAGTGTTCACAGGGATTTCACGGACCCCACTGTCAATATGGTGAGTCACCAACAAGACCATTTATTATGAGTTGGAACTGTCTGCTTTGCTTTTAAGGGACAGCCAGTTATGTCAATGCAAACTAATGGCAGGGTTATCCCTTTGGGGATTGGTGAGTGTTTAAAATGAGCCACTAAGCAGAAACCTACAACCTAAAGTGTAATCAGCCTCACAAAATATGCTTTGTAGTTTAGTTTTAATTATTCACTATAAGAGTTCAAAGGGTAGCAGTAAGTACAAAATAGTCCACTTTGTAAAGGAAATGGCAGCTTAATAAGAAAACCTCATCCTGACCTCAGATGTTAAATCTTTCACGGAGCCTTGCTTTGAAATTGCTGGTATAGTATTCTTCAGTGAGATCTCTATAGTTTATGAATGAACAAAGTGGGATTAACATGAATTCCTTGTATTGTGGTACTTAATACTTTCATGCCCTTAATTTTAAAAGTTCAAAAATAAAAACTCAAAACTTACATGATTCTCAGTTTCAATACTTGCTTGGCAATCTGGTTTTCGAGGTTGGCATATTTAAGATGTTACATACATACAGGAAAATTTCAGAATGGTCACTTATTGATCCTTAACTGCATCAGCCATGAGATATGGGATAGTTTCAAAAGGATTTGCTTTGACTTGATCATTTGATTCTAGTCTCCAAAGGATATGGGTGCACCTGCAGTTAGCTTTTTAGAGGAGAAAAAACAAAACAAAACCTAGCTGAAAGAAGTTGATGGGACAGATTTTAAGAGTTATCCAAAATTCTGCATTTATTGTCTTCTACTGATATGGGTTTCTTCTTTCTCTACTGTCTGGATCTTTATAAATGAAATTGGAAGATGGCTAAGAGTTCATCATTCATGTCCATAGGTTCCTGCTGCCCTTGGCAAAAGGTGAAGGCTCCCGTTTTTCATGGGTCACCTCAAAGCTATTCTTCTTGTAAATTAATCCTGATACTCTCTTCTGAGTTGCTTTTTTTAAAAAAAATTAAAATTAAAATAAAACTGCTTTTTTAACCCCAATTTATTCTTTAACTATGGAACACTGATTCTGAAATAGAGGTCAGTGGATGCTTTGAGCTGCAGGATGTATCTTCAGCTATTTCATGATTTTAAAGAAGTAGCAGAAATTCTACATTGATCCGGGATAACAGAGTATTTGTCTCTAAATAAATTGTTTTAGCTGCATGTACAGCACTGGTTTCCTTATCTCGATCAGTAACTGTGACGGCTAATTGAACATATCATTGATTCATTAAGAGTTTTTAAAAATTAATTATTACTTTATAAATGCTTTTGTTTTGGTAGAAGCAAATCTTGCACAACATTAATTCCCATAGGAGAAAGGTAATGAAGGAGACATATGGTAATGATAATGACCTGGAAATCATACCTGAGTTAAATTATTCTTTATTTTTCACATCAGTACTTGGATATTTTGATTATTCTAGCATCTTAACAACTTTTATACACCAAAATAATTAACATGCTTTCTTAAGTTTATGTAGGTAGATTCTTTTTTTTCTTCTTTAATTTTTGGTTGGCAAAAATCATCTTGCCTTTCCCACAAGTTTGTTTAACCATAAAGTTTAGTAGTCATGAGAACCCCAACCTTACAAAGTATCTTTCCAGTCTCCATTGCATTTTTTCAGTAACATTGTCCAAGTGTGCTCCCTTTAGATTTTTAACACTATTCCTTCTCCCAACATGATATCTCCTGTAGAATTTTAAAAGGAATTGATAAACCCTGAGAGTTATTCAACTGAAATGGTGGGAGCTTACACATTTGCTACATGGTATTGCTTTTCATCTATCAAAATAAAAGGAGATACAAAAACTGTGTGAATTTAAGGGAGTTTTAGGCAGGCATTTTGAAGACTTTCTAGGAAATCAATCAAATTTAGGAAAGAAGTTAAGAACCAATTAAGAAGAAATGGCATTAGCTGAGACTTGAAGGAAGATTAAAAATTAAAATCAGCAAAGAACTGTCTTTAAAAGGAATGCACTTGATAGAACATATAGTCTATCAAGGAGGATGGTTATAGTCTCGCAATAGATTTTCTAACACACTGCTTATCCTGTGGTTGTATTTGAGTTCTGGGTTATGAGCTTAGAAGCCTTGGCCTGATTGATGTGCTCTCATTCTCTCTCTCTCTTTCTCACAATAAAATAATTATAGTGATGTTTTTCAAATCATATAAATAATATATATCTCACAATAAAATAACTGTAGTGATGTTTTTCAAATTATATAAATAATAACTCAAATGAGAACAAATTGAAAAAATTAAAATGATAAAAATGCCAAGTTAGTTCTTAGTGGTTCTGGACTGATTCTTGGTATCAGATACTTCCTTCAACATTTTATTACTTCTGTTAAACTTATGAGTGTCCCATTGATATTTTCTAAGTTTGGGTTTTGTTTTATTTTCTTATCTATTATTTGACCACCAAGCATTAAGCTATATTTTATGTTTGAGGAATTCTGCTTAAGGGAGGATGCCTGTGTTCAGGAATTCCTAATTGTAAAAGGTTTCAACTATGAGAGCCTAAGAAACTTATCACCATGGAAGATAATGTATACAAGATTTCAAATAAAACAGATATATTTTAAGGGGAAAAAAAGCCCAGTTAATAACATTGCACAGTACTCCTGCCTTTAGAAAGTGATGGTGGTCATCCTCTTAGGCACATTTATTCTTACCCATATATTATATACTGTTTTTTCATGAGTGCTCTTCTTCTTTTCCTTTGCCTTTTCTTCTCTCTCCATCCAACATACTCTCCCCTCCCCATTAACAACTGGCTGAATACTCCTTTCTATCTTTCTTTTAACTCATGTTGTCATATACAAATAGGTGAATAATATTCTTTAATACCAGTTCACCAGAAATTTGCAACTAGTCATTTTATTGATAAACATTCATTTGTTTCAACTTCTTTATTTTTTTTTACACAATAATCAGTGCTTCAATAATATGGCACTTTTAATTTTGTAGAACAGAGTCCCTATAGTGAAATGGTTGATGTCAATGTATATTAAAAAAAAATTTTTTTTTTGATACAAGGGAATTGAACCCAGAGACACTTAACCACTGAGCAACATTCCCATCCTCTTTTTGTATTTTATTAGAGGTAGAGTCTCACTGAGTTGCTTAGGGCCTGGCTGAGTTGCTGAGGCTGGATTTGAACTCATGATTCTCTTGCCTCAGTATTCCGAACCTCTGGGATTATAGGTGAGTGCCACTATGCCCAGCTGTTTTAAAATTTTAATGTGCTTAAGAATAAAAATATTTATTTAAATTATTTGTAAGTTTTTCTTTTTGTGTGCGCCTCAGAAATGGCTTTGCCAATTTATTTTGTTAGAATGGATTATATAGTCTAGTTAAATCCTAGTTATTTGCTTCCTTTTTTGACATATATGAAGTTTTCCCTGCATCTGTATCGAAAACCAGCAGTGTGATACTGTGATCAGGATTATTGTAAACATGGATTGCTAATATAGGGTAAAGTTGACTTTATATGAGATATATGGAAAAAAGAAGTTTTAAAAATAAACCAGATGGCTTTTTTAAAATGGAGAAAAGACTCTAGTCTTTGAGAGAGAAGGGACATGCTAATAACTGAGAAAAATGCTTGAAGTTAATAATGATTCTAAAATTGCTGATCTACTTAACTCATTTGAAAAATCTGCCTCTAATAAGGAAAAATGAAGAAAATGAATTTGGACAATTAGGAAGTAATGAAGAGCTTTCTAAAATAGCTATTGATTAAAGGAATCAAAAGGAATACTTTGAAGATTTGAACACATGCAAATCAGGCTAGATAGCTGGTAGTGAAATTCTTTCACTCTTTTTAATTTTATGGATTCAGGCAGAACAACTTGGAGATTCATTAACTGATTTATTATCACACACAAAGTTACACCTATTTTCCTCACTACTTATTCCATCTTCCTTTTGTCAGAAGTCAAGAAGACTTCCTTGGTCAGAAGTCAAGTTAAATAAAAATACCCCTCTGGTTTAACGTAAGTCTCTGAGGTCTCTTTCTTTTATTCATATATTCATCCATTCCATGTTCCAGTTAGTAAATATTGACATAGCAGACTGTATGCAGGTATTTCAGATGCCAAAACAATTAGGCTATTCTTAGTGTAGTAGTCAATAGAGACCAGGAATCGAATGATTAGAATACAGCTCACAAGTACTGTGATGAAGGATGTTTCTGTCCTAAAGGAAACAGGAGAGGGTTTATCTATGTCATGCAATGGAGGTAAGGGAGTTTTCTCAAAATACTGGAAAATAAAAATACTACTTATTCTCAAAGATAAGCAGAATAATACGAAATTTAGCAGAGTAAATAGTACATTACCCAGAGACATGGAAGAGTACTGCAAGTTCAATGAACAGCAATAATAATGAAAGTAGTAGTTCTTTTGCCTGCAGTAAGAGATGTACATGGAGCATGCCAAAATATGGCTTTCCTTCCCTCCCCCCCCCCAAGGTCAAGGGCACCAATTACTTAGTCTTTTTTGGTACAAACCAACTATTTTAGAACCTTATACACATATGATTGTGTAAAGGGATTCTGACAAGACTTCCCTTTCCCAAGTTCATTCTCTGTCCAGGTAGTCCTTCAGTTGGTGTCTTGAACTTATATAGGTAGTACTGATTGGTACTCATTCTCATGCTTATGGAGGAGTTCCAAACTGTCTGCATTGCTTCAAAGTTTGTGGTGTATGATATTTAGGCATACAAAAAATTTTCTTGTTTCTGGAATGTTATGTAGTGACATGGAAAAGTCCTCAAGAGTTCTGAGGTTGAGGTTGGGTCTCACCATTAGCTGCATGCATTATCTTGGAGAAGGCATTTTATGTTCCTTGCCTCAGTGTTATCATTTGTAGAACAACAGCTTTAATTTTCCTTAGCATCTGCCAAGCATCAAGCATTATTGTAAACATTTTAAATGTATTACAATATTAATCCTTAGAGGTCCATAATGTGA